GGGGATATTCCAATCTCAGTTGTCATGATACCAGCAGTCCAGTTCAGCAGCAAAGCAGCAGCAGCAACATGAGTCAACAGCAGCATAATGAGTCAGTAGAATCTGCTAGACTCCACCAAATGGCACAAGTCTGTTGAAGTGGCAAAACTCCTCCAAAGCAACAAGAAAAGTTCTCTGGAGCATTTTTTCTCTACAAAAACAAGCAAAGTAATGCAAAGCGCTGAAAACCATAGAGATGCAATAAGCCTTGTCTCACTGTCTGTGGGCTTCCTATTATCCTTTCTCAGAGTCCACACAAAGGTGTTTTCCAGCTCACAAAAACCCTGCCCCTCACATGAGGTAGTTTTCTTCTGAGATATACCACCTGCCTGTTAACATTTCCACAGCCCACACTTGGAGCCAAAAAAAAAGACATATCCACATGACATAACTGAGTTTCCAAAGAAACCAGAGACTTCCACCTCAAAGAGGCTTCCCCAGCTGTAGACTGTGTGAATTACAACAGTGACGAGTGTGGTAACAAATGTCCCTGGGGAGATAGTGGCAAAAATGCTATTGAGGTAACCAATTGTTTTCTGATTGGATTTAAGGCCTGCTCCACAGGAGGAATCATATGCCTCAAATTGTAAATCTGGCCAAGAAGTCTGAGTTGGGGATCTTACAGGTTCTAGGGGTGAGCCTACCATTATTATTCTTTTCAGTGGACATAAGAGCAAACTACCCTCTAACTTTGTATCTCCATATCCATCAGTTAGTGCGGCCCTTGGTCTTCATCAGAGAAGTTCCTTTATGCAGTAGGTGATGAGTAATGCAGACCCTCACAGCTGATCAAAGTGCAGAGAAGGAAATAAGTGACAGTAGCAGGCTCAGCCACAAATGGACAGTCTATTTTCACACAACCCCAGCCAGGGATCAGAGATCAGAGAGGACCAGAACAAAACAGTGTCTCCTGGACTGGATGCAGTCACTGTAGCTATGAATCCACAGCAGCTGTGACCATCTGCACAAGGTCAGGCCAGCCAACATTCTAGCATAGAGTGGGAAGGCGATTCTTGAGATCTTACCTCTGAGGACTGGTGAACAGTTGATGTGTTTTGGGGGAGGGAAAGATGGCCCCAAATTCAGGAGTATATAGAAAGCACAGCTTGGGCTCAAAGCTTATTAAAAACGAAAGGGCACGAATTTGGTGGTTAGGAGGTAGGTGACGGTGAATCTGGAAGGCATTAGAGGGAGAAGTGAGGATGAATTTGATCAAAATATATTGCACGGCAGGGGTGGTGGTCACATGAAATTCTCAAAGAATTTATATGAAACATTTCTACAGAGTAGCTCAAATTGATAGAAAATATGATTTATAACTCCTAAAGGCCTACTGGCCATACAAGTTTATTTTGTATCTCTAGCTTATTTAACAAATTCACATTTATGGCTGTTTACACTTATTTCTAGATAAACATCTATATCCTTTTAGATGAATCATAATAAAGTTTCCTGTGAATAAATTCAGTAATGACGTTATAGATTAAATGAGCAATAGTTTTGGTAGATTAATTATTTAAAAACATCCTCCCTAGTGCAAGTTCTACAAGTCCTTATTATCACTGTGGGGTTACCATGTTTCCAAATTAATCAAATGTGTCAACAAATAATTGTAGAGGTACGTCAGAGTTCTGTGCCTTCCCTTGAATTAACATGCATCACACCAAATGTATCACACATCAATTAAGAACAGTCACCCTTTCTAAAATAGTCATTCTGATAGTCAAGGTAGTCCTTCCCTTCTGTCAAGCACTGTTTTTCAGTTGCCAGTTTATTGTTGCTTGGATATAGATACTTATATTCCAAAATAGTGTAGCCTGTCTCACTACCCTGTTCCATGTGATGAAAAGCAAAACACATCTGCCCTTCACAGGCAGCTGAATTTCAGGCAAAACAATAACAAATGGCTCCTCATTTGTTCACTGTTTGCAAGGCCTCATAGTTATTAATACTCTACCCCCAGCTCACATATTCCAATCCAGAAATGTAAATTTCATATGTCTCAGTTGGTTACACCTCTTAGAAGACTTATTTGGAAATGCTCTAGACATTTTTTCCTAGGCACTAATTATAGAACAGATGGCCTAATGGTATTTTAGTATTCCTATATATCCTCAGTTCGAACCTTGAGAAAAATGTCTGTTATTTCTTGCAGTTCAGCCATGCTGATAGGGTTATCATGGCCTCAGCACTCCTATGAGAAACACTGCTCTAAAGAATGAATTAAAATTTATAAAGTGTTCATAATAAATGAATTATGGAAAATGGTCTAAACCTGAGCTTTTCTAAATTCCTCACTGAGGAAACTGAGTCCTGGCATGAATGGACTGTTGGCTCAAGGTCAGATCATAGCAGAGTATCTGTGGGAGGATCTAGAGTGGGGGACTTAGGAAAATGAGCATGGTAGAGGGTATGAGTCCATGACAGTGAATCAGTTTCTGAGTTAAAAACTTAACTTTGGTACACGAAAAAAGACACAGATGTGAAGAATATGTAGCCTCAGAACTGAAGAAAGTTTCCTGAACTACTGGGGAGACTTGTCCACTCTTAATTCTACAATATCTAATTGTGTTGTGGTGGTAAGAGTGAGAATAGCTGAAATATGCTCGTGTGTTTGAAAGCTCGTCTCCAGCTGATGGGACTCCTTGGGAAGGATTAGGAGATGTGACCTTGTTGGAGGAAGTGTGTTTCTTTAATCAGGCTTTGGGGTTGACAGTTGGCTTTCTCTGCATCCTGCTTGTGGGTCAAGATGTGAGCTCTCAGTGGTTCCTGCTGCCCTGTCTTTGTTCTAACATCATGGACTTTAACTCTCTGAAACTATAAACCATAAATTAATTGCTTTCTTTTGTATGTTGCCTTGGCCATGTGTTTTATCATAGCAATAGAAATACTGATGGAGATACTAATATATTCCAGAAGGCTATCAGGACCAGTTCATGTTTTATGTTCTCAATGTAACTTGTTCAAATGCAAAACTTCTCTTCCTGTACTATCAAATTTAGTTACATATTAATTTAAACAGATCCTTGCATTATCTTTTTATTATTTTATTTTGTATTCATTTATTCTTTCATGTATTACATCCTGATCACAATTTCCCTTCTGTTCTCTCCTCCCAAACCTTTCCCATTCTCCCTTCCCCATCTACTACTCTTCTTTTTCCATTCAGAAAAGGGAAGTCCTCCCATGGATATCAACCAGACATGTCATATCATTTTGCAATAAGACTAGACACCCCGACTCTTTCATGTTAATGCTAGCTGAGGCAACCCAGTAGGAAGACAATGTCCCCAAAGCAGGCAAAAGCATCAGAAATAGTCCCTGCTCTCTCAAATTGGAGTCCCACAAAAACACAAAGCTACAAAACTATAACATATATGCAAAGGGTCTAGGTTAGACTCATGCAAGCTCCCTGATTGTTGTCCCAGTCTCTGTGAGCCCCCATGAACCCAGGTTTATTGATTTTAAACAGATTATTTTAAAAGATAATTTTCAACTTTTTAAAGTTAAAATAGAATTATTTTTATTAGAATATGATTCATGAGGGGGGCCTGGTGATGCAGGCCTGTAATATAGGTAGCTTGGTAGGCTTATGCAGGATGGTCACAAGTTCAAGGTCTGTTTAGGCTATACAATGAGTTCAAAGCCAGCATGGGAACTTAGTGAGATCTTGTCTCAAAATAAGGACAGGGAGTGGGAAATCTAGGATCAGCAGGATGGACAATGCCCTGAGTATGACCCATCAGCACCACGCAACACAAATGTTGAGAACTCCTTCTCCACTTTTTATGTATAACAGAATTTCTCCTCCAAGGCTCTCAAACATCATGTAAAGATTCAGTATAACCCACTAGATGTCAAGTCCCATCATGCTTCTGAATCACTGTAACAAATGGTGTATGGTAGACAAGCTTGTTTGATCAAGGGGTTTGTAAAGTCCAGTTATTATACAAGAATAGATATTGTTAAAAGATATATAGGTCAAGGCCTGGAAGCTCACACACCTGCTTTCTCTCTCTACCTCTGCCATTGTGAAGCCGGTAGTAAGAAGTGTGTGATATTTGATTCTACTCCAGAATCTTCACAGGCCTGTGCTTCCCAGGATAGGTTTATTACAGATCCAATATTGTATGACTTTGTGATATCAAGATTTGAAATAGTTGCCTTGATGGCAGTCACATGAAGTTTCTACTTCTTTCCAAGTTTTCTTAAAGTCCTTTGAAATGCCTTTGGCAGACTTAGGCAAGGAAAAAAGATACAACCTATAGCTGAGAGGCAGAGAAAGCCACTTGGCTCTGAGAGGAAACCATTTCATGGTTTTGACATTGGTAGCATATAAGTTAAAATCCTCAGAGCAGACCGGGGGTCTGGGAGTGTTTGTTTACATACAAGGAGGATAATTCCTAGGGCATCACTGCTTTTACTATTAACAGATGGGGAATCACTTTTTTTTTTTTTTTTAAGTACACAAGATTTTCCGCGATGCCACTTGTCTGTATGAGGCATCCTTGAAGGCCAGGGAGGATAAAAATCAGCTGTCTATATTTGCCTCTGAGAGACAGTTTGAATTGAATTTCTCAAAGGAAAGATAAAAAGTGAGCATAACATATTTTTTTGACCTACTTTACTCTTTCAAATTGGAGGCCTCCATTTCCCTTTTTTCTTTCTGTTGGTTGACCAGCATATTTTAACATGGTTTAAGGACAATCATTTGGGAGGAAGTGCTTCTACAAAAAAATGACTACACGATGTGTTTTGAAACTAGCTTATGATCTTCAGAATCCACATAATTGGGTGGATGAAATGGTCATAGGACTGAAATTTAAGTTGTTGATGGTACATAGGAAACACAAGTTAATTGTCTACATTAAGTTGCTTGTGGGTAAATTTAATATTAATATTATTCTCTTGAGAACTCTTCTATAACAATATTAATTTCTCCTGTTTTTCTTTCCATTTAGGCGTGGCCTCCTGCCCTGTCGATCTTTCTGTGAGGCTGCAAAAGAAGGATGTGAGTCTGTCCTGGGGATGGTGAACTCCTCCTGGCCAGATTCCCTCAGATGCTCTCAGTTTTTAGACCACACTGAGAACAAGAACAATGTCAGCAAGATCTGCTTCTCCCTGGAGCAGGAACATGGAAAGCAATGTAAGTGTCTGTGTTTCCTTTTAAAGTTTGTATTCAGATACCGTCCACTTGGGGATATCTACGTAAGTCCTGTACAGTCTTAACAAAATGAGAAGACTGCAGATTAAGAAGCAGGATAATAACCAGACCTAGAAATGCCCACAATAAACTTCCTAATCGCCTCACCTTTGCCAAAGACTTCCATCACTTCAGGTAGCTTTGCTTATTACTGAAGCTCATATAAACTGAGATAAATAATGTGTGACACCTTTGTGTCTTTTTGCATTTGCTTAACACTTGAGCAATGCATTGTGTTTATTACAGGTTTCATTTTTTTTTCCTCATTGCTTGAAGTGCTCTAATACTCAGTTATACAACATTATATTTCTCTAGTCTGTTATTGATGATCATTGGGTTTGGTCCAATTTCAGTTATTATGAAGAACAGTGCTGTTACTATTTTTGCACATGTCTTTGGTTGGACACAGTTGTGGGCCTGTTCAGTGAGATAGTTCTCTAAACTAGTTGTATGGATTTATATTCTTCGTATCTGTGTGTGAAAGGCCATCTTGTTCTCATCCCTTCCTGATGCTGGCATTTTCAGTCTTTCTCGTTTTTACACTTCTGGTGAGAGCACTAGGGTATCTCCCTTTGACTTTAAGTTGTCTTTCCATAAGGAATTTGATTATATGTTAAAAAATGAATAACTGCTAGTTTGTCCTTTCTATTGTACAAATATTTGCCCATTTCCAATGGTCCTATTAACTTACAGTTTCATGTGCAGCATGGATACACTTCATCATTGTTTTGATCTGAAATGTTGCCCAAAATCTTGTTTTCTGAAGGCTTGTCTACTGGCCTGTAACAACTGCTGAGAGGTTCTGAAACCTCAAAGAGGTGGAGCACAGTAGAAGAAGTTACGTCACTGGGGTCTAGCCTCTAAAGTGGGTGTTGAGACACTGGCTCATTCCATTTCTCTATGATTTCCAGCCACCTTGAGGTGAGAAGGCTCATCTACCATGTGCCTTTGCCATTATGTTTTACTACAAACAGTCCCAAAGTAAATGTGAGGGACCATGGACCAAAATCTCTGAAGCTCTGAGGCAAACCAAATCTCTCCTTTCTTTAAACAGTTTATCTCAGGCATTTTGAGATTTTAGAGTGATGCAAAGCTGACTAATACAGATGCAATTTGTTGGGCAGATGTATTACAAAGGTTTCTGACTGCATTTTCCCATTTTCAACATGCATAACTCTTTTCCCTGTACATGGAACAGAAACAGAGGGAGTTTTATCAATCTTGCTTTATTATTTTATTAATTGTTTGAACATTTTATATAATGTAATTTGATCATATTCACTCCCCATCTTTCAACTCCTCTCAGATCTACTTGCTTGCCTGTCCACCCAACTTTGTATCTTCATTTAAAAAAAGTCTTCTGAGTATGATTTCTGCTGCCCATATACTCTTGTGTGTGCGGCCATCCACTGGAATGTGGTCAGCTTGTAAGATGCTAGACTTTTAAAGAAAATGGACTTTTCCTCTCCCAGTAACTTTGAATTTACAATAGTGCCTCAACTAGGGGTGAGACTTCATGCCTACCTCCTTACTCCATGCTGGGATTTAGTATGGCTTAAGCTTTCATGGGTCTTGTGAATGCCATCACAATCACCATGAGTTTGTATGTGCAGCTTCTCTGCTATGTCTAGAAAATATGGTTTCCTTGAAGTCATCCAAAGCCTCTGGCTCTCACTGTCTTTCTAGGCTTTGTTCCGTAATGATCACTCATCTTTGTAGGGTTGGGGTATGACATACTTGTTCCATTTAAGGCCAAACATTCAGTATCTCTTTTTGATGTCTCACAAGCTATGGTGACCCAATGCCATCCCTCCCTCTGTGGCAGTGGGAAATCTGAACTGTCTCCTGCATGCCCCTCACCCCACGAGCCAATAAAATACATAGTAGCAAGTACCAGAAGTCAGGCCAACCAGCAACAAAATAACAACACACACACCTTTAAACCTGATCTTGAGGAACACCTTTAATCTTGGCTATACTATCTTCTGGAAGCCTATATAAGGCAATGGAAGAAGGAAGGGTTTATTCATTCTTCATCTGCTTGCCCTTACTTTGCCAGCACATTCACTGGAGCCTACTTCTTCTGGAGTCCAGCTTATACAGAAGACCAGCTGAGACACTCATTCTCATGGGACTGAGCAACTACTAGATTCTTGATTCTTGGACTTTCCATTCATAGATAGCCATTGTTGAATTAGTTGGAATTTCAATAAATTACATACATACATATACGTGTGTACATACATATGGTGAGACAGAGAGACAAAGATTCATTCCATAAGTTCAGGACCCTAGGGAATCCTGACTAGTATACAGTCTACCACCGAGGGAAGTTGAACTTGGAAGCAGGAACTGAAGTAAAGACCAGGGAGGCATCAGTCTTACCCAGCTGTTTACTGGTTTGCCTCTTCAGGCTTGCTTGTCTAGAGGAGTTGAAGCAGAGGCCACAGAGGAAGCCGTTCACTGGCTTGCTTCTCATGGCTAGCTCAGCCTGCTTTCTTATATAACCCCCCTCAGGGGTGGCACCACACATAGTGAGCTTGGCACTTTCATATCAATCATCAATCAAGAAATTCTTCACAGTCTTTCCTATAGGCCATTGGATCTTTTTCTCAGTTGAGGTTTCTTTTTTCCAGATAACCCTAGCTTTGGCCAAGTGGACAATAAATCAAACAAGACAGTTTTATGTAAGGATTGCACGTAACTTAAAATTATCTTTTTTTTTTCACTGTATTAATACTCACCAAAAGCTATTCAGGGTTGAAGAGACAGCTCAGTCATTAAGCTTTTGCTGTTCAAGAATGAAGAGTGAGGACCAGAATTTGGTTCCCCATTCCCAAAACTCAAGTAAATGCCCTGTGGGAGTGAAGCCTGCCTTTTATTCCATCCTGAGAAGGCAGAGATAGGGGATCTGCAGCTGCCTAAGGAGAGTTGCTATGCAGTGGAGCTCTGGGTTTGATTGAGAGACCCTGCTTTATTTTACAGGGTGGAAGGGTAATGAGGTCAGGCATCCAGGCATGATCACTTACAAGCACATACACCCACTGTCGGGGGAGGGGGGGTTAAGCAGAAATGGTCCCTTTAGGCTCATATATTTGAATACTTGGTTATTAGGGAGAGGCACTACTTGATTGAGCTTAGGAGGTGTGGCCTTGTTGGAGGAAGTATGTCACTGGAGTGTGCTTTGGGGTTTCAGGATCTTAACCGCTTGATCTCTCCAGTCCTCGTGGGGTTTCAGAATCTTAAGCCAGGCCTAGTGGCACTCTCTGTTCCTGCTGCCCATGGATCTAGATGTAGAACTCTCAGCTTCCTGACAAGCATCATGTCTGCCTGTGTGTTACAATGCTTCCTGACATGTTGATAATGGACTAAACCCCTGAAACTCTAAGCAACCTTCAACTAAATACTTTCCTTTATAAGAGTTGCTATGGTCATGGTATCTCTTCACAGCAGTAGAACACTGACAGACATATCCACACTTGTGTGTGCACCCAAACATATGTATAGCACACATATACACCACACATACACACATACACACACACAAAAAAAAACCCTATTCAACCTATTTCTCTTAGAGTAACTATTTTTCTATACTTCTAGAACATTTGGTGAGGCATTCTATTTTATTTAGTTCATTCCTTTGTATAACTTATACTACGGTAATTCACCTTTGATGATGGTTTTAACAATTGGGTCAGTCTGTGCTGCCAGGGTGTCTGTCTGCACCTGTCACCCATGATGATATTTTTTTTTCTTTTCTTTTTTCTTTAATTCTTCATTAATTACACTTTATTCACTTTGTATCCCCCCGTCGTTCCCTCCCTCCTCCTGTCCCTATCCCTCCCTTCCTCCACCCGCTGCATGCATGCCCCTCCCCAACTCCACTGACAGGGGAGGTTTCTTTTCGTTTCTTCTGATCCTAGTCAATTAGGTTTTAATGATGACATCTTTATGTTCATTTTCCCTGAGTTTTCCATACCAATATCTTATCACACTCTTTCTTGGACTGTTCCTGAGACCAATTATCACAAGTTGGGTTCTCTAGAAATAGTCATTAAGAAGGAGTCTTACATTTTAGGATTTAGCTTTTTTGTTGTAGAGAGGAAACAAAACAGCTTTTCTGATCAGGAAAGGGAAGATTTGGAATATGATCCAGTCCTATTTAAACCTCAGCCATATGTGAGGGTGCTCTAGGAAGGTAACTGGTCTCAGTCAGAATCAGCCAAATAGCCAGCTCTTTTAACTTTTGCCTCAGTCAGTCGTTGATGGGGGCCCTTCCTGGGAAGAGTGGGCCCTTGAGTAGGGCAGCTCTTTGCAGAACTCTGTAGATGAAGCAAGAGCCTGAGTGTTTTGAAAGCTGAGGGCTATTAGATGATGGGTAGAGTCCCAAGCCATTTCATAAAGTAGAGGAAAATAGAATGAGGGCAGGTCCCTCAAGTTAATGGGAAACTAAGACGATTTTTGTGCCATTTTTATAAGACTCCATCTAACTCTGGTTTGTGTCTGTTCTGAAGTGCTTTTCTCCAGGGAATCTCAGCTCGAGACTTAGGGAGTTGCTGTATTCCTCAGGTCCTGGGACAGGCCTGAGTTTGGTAACTTCGCCTCACTTTTAGAAGACTCCCGCTTAGCTCATTAGTTTCTTGCTTTTGTGGTAAGTGCATGGCAAGAGCTGGCATATTCCATGGGGAAAAGAATGCACAGAATGTGGATTTTCTTTTCTTGTTTATTTTTGAGATTGCGTTTTAAGTACATTTCCCCCTTCTCTTTCCACTCTTCAAATCTTCCCCTATACCCATCCCCACCCTCCTTCAAAATCATGGCCTCTTGTCAGAATGTGGATCTTTTCTCACTTTACTTCTCTTTGGGATCTTGGCTGATCATGACCTAATCATCTCCTCAGCTCTCAGATTTTTTTTTAACCATGAGTTTGTCAAATTTTA